GTATTGGGTAGTATTGGGTGGTATTGGGTAGTATTGGGTAGTATTGGGTGGTATTGGGTAGTATTGGGTAGTATTGGGTGGTATTGGGTAGTATTGGGTAGTATTGGGTAATTAGACGCGCCCATCCACATCGTTGTCCTATGATATAAGGAGGAGGCAGGACAAATCGGATCAGTACCCAAATCTGATAACTGTTTGCAAAAATACTTCCAAATCAATAAATGTGTCAACAGTTCAGTTATTACAACAATTGATTCTAATTATACATTAAAATTGGTTATTTTCAGTCTAGATATGATTAAATTATAAGTTAAAATAGCATCAGAAGATGTATTTCAAACTCAAAATCTAGTTTTTAGTTTATGTTGCTAAAAACGGGCATGTGGTAAGACTATGCATTTTGATTCTGACTACAGGAATAAATTCAGAATAAAGAAATACTTCTATTCATTCAAATTCCATAGATTATCATAAAATGTTACAATGCTGTCAAATAAATGCTCATTTTTAAAGCAAAGTATTGCAAAATTCAAGCCGTGAGTACTGACATTGTAAAAAATGGAAATGCTTATTGGTGACATCAGAGTGTTCTATAAATTATAATCTCACATAAGCCCTGGGTGTTTATTTTGTTGGTCAGAACACCCATCAATATTCTTCTTTTGATACAACCATAAATTAATATAATTCATCTGCTGAAATTTCAATGAATGAAGAAAATTATGGGTTGGTGATTCATTTTGAGTAATGTCACATGAAGCCAAGCTTGATTGCAATTGGGTTGACCCACAGTGACCATTAAATAGTTTTTTTTCCCATTACCTGTCTATTAGTATTGCACTTGTCTTTCAAATTTGATTTCACTGGCAGTCTTAACTCATTCACCCCTGAAATTTCATAATGAGCTATTCCAACCTTTGAATTGGAAGGGTTCAAATGTGTCTTCAGGGGTGAATGAGTTAATTGGATTCAGAACTTCTTGGATAACACACAAATACAAAAAAAAGCGAAATATTGCAAAAAAAACTGGAGGTGTCCATCTTAAAGCTGTGCATCTTATGTTTGCCCCTAGGTGACTACAGTGTATATCAAGCATATGTATGATTCTTATGAATAAGTTATCCTCTATGAACCAATTCTTAATTAGGTATATGACAATGTTCTTAAAATGACTTAAAGAAAGGACCTTTCTGCACTGCATGCATGTAAGGTTTAAACAAACAAAACACAAAATAAGAAAACATCTTTTGTACAGAAATGAAAAACAATCAAGAGTGTAACCATACTGTCACTACTGCTTCAATATATCTAAATACTCTCTATGTTAAATCTAATCACTTCACTATTATTTTTAAGGCACAACTGTTGGATATGAGGTCAGGCCTGGCCCAGATTAAAGCCTCTAAGACAATGCTGGAGGGTGAACTCGGTGATGTTTTACTTCAGCTACACTCGTCACAGTTACAGAGACAGGCGGAGAAAGGAGTGGAAATAGATTCCTCAGTCATCAAAAAGAAAGTGGTATGTATCGGTCGTACCATATACCTGGCATATACACTGTTCTTGTATACAGTAAACATACTGGATTTAATGGTGTTTGTAATGATTTTCATAAGAACTTAATGAGTGAATATATAGTTCTTATTAATTTCCTGCAAAATAGATTGAAAACGGAATGCAAGAAATTATCTGTTTCCAGTCATGCATGCTTCATCTCGACCCACTGTACGTTTAGTTACCTACACATTGTACTATCAGTTTTATGTTAATTTCCAACAAGCACTGTTATATATAGGTTGTCAATATTTTTTAAGGATGTTTATGTTATTTTTTTTCATTAAAAACGAAATTTCCATGCTTACATACATACATGTACAAATTCTTTTCTTCCTCTTCTAGAAAAACAAGTAACTAATAATGGTTTGGCCAAAATGTGTAAATTGTGTTCATTAAAATAATGAAGATAATGTAGTACTTGATCAAATAAACTAGATACAGTACACATGTGATTTGATCATGAGGGAAAGTTCATGATCATGGTTTCAAGTTATTTTTTATGCATTCAAGGAAGAAGAAATGGAAAAGAGAAAATCCAAAACATCCAATTTAGTCATACTTGAATCAGAGATGACTGAACTTCGACGAGAAAATGATGAACTGCGACAGTATGTGTTGGCACTGCAGGGAGAAGTGTATGGGGCAAGGTTAGCTGCCAAGTACCTGGATAAGGAGCTGGCTGGGAGGTATACTCTCTTCTTAAAGTGGTCATTATTTAGATATCAACAGTCACTGTTGAATACAAGCTTTCAGGCTTAGACCTTTATCAGGGATTGAATGGTCCTCAACCTTATATAGGAATTATGAAGTAGGTAGATGGAAGCTTATTGAACTATCAACATTAAATGTTTGCCAAGTGGTAGTAGATGATTAAATAATTAAGATAAATATTAAAAGTTGTTTTGATATTATTTATACCTACCGGTATATAGGATATTTTATTTTATGCAGAATACAACAGATTCAGCTACTAGGAAGAGATATGCGTGGAGCAGAGCATGATAAATTATGGAATCAACTGGAAGCTGAAATTCACCTCCATCGCCACAAAACTGTGATAAGGGCATGTCGCGGAAGATCTACACGCAAAAAGAAGCTCCCTGTCCCCGCAGGACATGTAAGTTAGAAACAGATTAATAGTATTACTAATTTGCTGCTGATATTATTGAACATTGAGCACCGAATTTAAAATGCTTTTCACAAAAAATGCAAAGCCTTAAACTACCAATTTTTAAGGTAACTTTACTGTACTCCAGGTAATGTATTTTATGTTTGAGGTCACAGTGGCAGACTTTAATTTATTTTTCACATCCCTGTTTGGTCTTAAATATATTTATCCCCTAAAAGTATAATTTTCAGGAGCTTAACAGACCGTCTTTTTTTTCAAATTGAAGGTTGAGGTTGGTTTCATTTACAAATGTTTTATTTGAGATAATAGGCTGTGTAAGTAAATTAAATATTTCGCAATTTATCATTATCTGTTTTTATAGGATTTCCAATCACTCAGGAAACAGCATGGACTGGGAGATGTTCGTAAGGTCGTTCTCAACAAAGGGGAGGATGATGGACTCGGCTTGTCTATAACGGTAGGTTTTCTGTTGGACAAGGGGATCAACAGAATACTACTTACAGTACTGTAACTGTTTCATAAATGTTCTTGTAATTTTGAATACAAGAACTATGAATATTTCAATATAAACTTTTTTTAAACAGGTTTTTTAGATGTTCATCCTTGATACTCCAGGGGTTATGCTCAATTATGCTTTTATTGGAAGCCCTGCTCAAATAAAAATATTGATGGTGATTTTGTTGTAGGGAGGAAAGGAACATGGAGTTCCTATTCTGATATCTGAGATCCACGAGGGACAGCCAGCAGAACGCTGTGAATCTCTATATGTGGGAGATGCCATCTTATCAGTGAATCAAATTGATCTACGGAATGCAAAGCATGCTGAGGCAGTTCAAGTATTGTCACAACAGGTGAGTTGTCTGTCAAGTATTGTCACAACATGTTATTTGTCTGTCAAGTATTGTCACAACAGGTTAGTTGTCTGTCAAGTATTGTCACAACGGGTGAGTTATCTGTCAAGTATTGTCACAACAGGTTAGTTGTCTGTCAAATATTGTCACAACAGGTTAGTTGTCTGTCAAGTATTGTCAAAACAAGTTAGTTGTCTGTCAAGTATTGTCACAACAGGGTAGTTGTCTATCAAGTATCGTCACAACAAGTTAGTTGTCCGTCAAGTATTGTCACAACTTTCAAGTATTGACAGGTTAGTTGTCCGTCATTTATTGTCACAACAAGGTAGTTGTCTATCAAATATTGTCACAACAGGGTAGATGTCTATCAAGTATTGTCACAACAGGTTAGTTGTCTGCCATGTTTTGTCACAATAGGTTAGTTGTCTGTCAAGTATTAACACAACTGGTTAGTTGTCTTTCAAGTATTGTCATAACTGTCAAGTATTGTCACAACAGGTTAGTTGTCTGTCAGATATTGTCACAACAGGTTAGTTGTCTGACAACTATTGTCACAACATGTTAGTTGTCTATTATGTATTGTCACAACAGGTTAGTTGTCTGACAACTATTGTCACAACAGGTTAGTTGTCTATCATGTATTGTCAAAACAGGTTAGTTGTCTATCATATATTGTCAAAACAGGTTAGTTGTCTGACAAGTATTGTCACAACAGGCTAGTTGTCTGTCAAATATTGTCACAACAGGCTAGTTGTCTGTCAATTATTGTCACAACAGGTTAGTTGTCTGTCAAGTATTGTCACAACAGGTTAGTTGTCTGTCAAGTTATTATCAAAACAGGCTGGTTGTCTACATCAAATGATGTCCCAATATGTTAGTTGTCAACATCAAATATTGTCACAATAGGTTAGTTTTTTTTCACATCAGGTATTATTATGCGGTGGTCGGGTGGTGCATTGGATAGAGCACTTGCCTTTCATCAAGGTGGCCAGGGTTCGATTCCCCAATTTGACGTGAAAAGGTATGGGGTCACCTGCTCGACCACGAGGGTTTTCTCCGGGTCCTCCGGTTTCCTCCCACATTAAGACCCCCTGCGCGCTAACATCCAGGCCAACAAGAGTGATTAATATAAGCTTGTTTTATAATTGTTGTAAAATAAATAAAGTTTATATTATATTGTTATGCTATAATTAATGTTCAAGTCAAGAGTTGTAACAAGTTATAACTATTGTACATGTTAAGTTTTTTCAAAAAAATCCGATGAGATAATTTTCTATTCTAGTAAAAAAAATCATTTTCTGAAAAATAGGAATTTTGAATGAAAAACATAATTTTCAGAAAATTGAACTGTGAAAACTCCATTATTGTATGCCTTGGATGTCATAGTATCTTCATTGTTTTCAGCAAGGTGTCATAGAGCTGGAGGTGATGTTTGTTGCACCAGACGAGGACAGCGAGGAAGAAAATAATGAATACGATGATGAAAATGGCTTCCGGTAAGCAATCTTGTGGATTTGTTGATACTTTTTACCAGGTAATAGACTATTGTTCTTCACTGTATCCAGTCTGTTCTTTAGAAGACATTATACCATGTACAGATTGTGTATATTTTTCAGCTAATCTCTTTTTGGTTAGGATTTTTTTAATGATATGTGGTTGGTGAGGTCTAAAATGTTCATTAGCATGTGTAGTTGGGGCAAGGAGATGGGGAAACACTGCAAGTGATGGGAGTTATAAACGAGTACCTACTCCCGCACCCCATATATGTATTTTGTCTGAAATTGCCCTATCTGATGCAAAAACGTATCCTCACTAGATTGTTAAATGTGAACTGTTGTCCTTCACAGTTACCGTATCTATGACGAGGAGGTGCTCAGCAGTGGAAGTGAGGTAGACCGACGGGAACAAAAGATGCACCAGACGATGTCAGCCTCAGCATCAGCCGACGGTCAGCCAATGTCACCATCTACACCGAAATCTCCCATGTCAACAAACACTAGTCCAGGAAGGTGAATATGAAATAGCCAGCACATGTTTAGAAAAGAATGAGAGTGAAAATACCCGCTGACCATTTCAAATTGCTCCACTTAACTGCTTTGTATTGGTGAAAATCCAATTCCTTATGCAATGGCAATGTCTGCAATAGCTGAAGGGGCCCCAGCTGTAAACAGTTGACCGTCTAAAAATTTTAAAAAACCCATGGATTTAGCAGATAAACCAGTGTGAACAAACAGGAGGGGATTTGTGATTCAATTATTATACTACCTGGTACCTGCAAACAAAGCTTGAATACCTAGATGTGCTGAAGAGAGAGTTATATCTTTTTGAGCTTGCTCAAAGTTTCTCTCGTTTCCTGATGTAATTGTGCCTTGTTTAAGACAATCATTCGCCAAGGAAGTTGATGAGTAGGAACTTTTTTCTTTTGTCTCATAAAATATTTGGTTTCCAGGAATCAAAATTTAGGATATAGTTCAATGTTTTAGAATATCATAGTTTGGTATTTGAACCGAAAAGATAATTCTAAATGTTACCTTGAATAACTTGGAAATTCTGATTTTGACTCACTTTTTTTTCTGTGAATTTCTTTACAGGCCAACTTTAGAGAGCAATTCTCCTCAAAAGAGCCCTATACATGAGAACGGACAACGTAGCCCGGAACAACTGCTAGTGGGCTCCCTACAGTCCAATAACATTCAGGGGGAGGGGTCAGGAGAGGCCCCAACATTCAACAGTGACTATCGATAGGCCCTGAACAAGCATAATCAACTTTAATTTAATATTATGTGTTTATATTATGTATTCAAGAGGGATCAATCTTACTATTAATGGTAAAGCCAAGGTTTGTCTGAGGTTTAGATCACCACGTTTCAACAATATGCTGAAGTTTAACAGTCAGACCTAGCTATTATGAGTTTAAACGCATCATTTAACCAATATTTGAAGTAATTTATTGGAATCAATTTTTTTTTATGTGAAGTTTTTCGTAATCTGTTATCTCATTTAACCATGTTATCTTTGCTTTTTTTATGGTCTCAGCAGTTCATGATAACAATTCTCTGCTCATTTAAAAAAATATATACTGGTACATGTACATCATTTTCTGTAGATCCTGACTGAACTGTACCATACTCACTACATAGGTGAGACCAAGTCTGCTTATAATTGGAAACAGAATCAGAGCGAAGCTGTGGTCACATGTCTTTTATGTATAAAGTTTGTTGTCACAAGTCCTAGGCTACATTCGTGAATACCAGTTGAAACGGTACGTGTGGCGCAGAAATTGTCCACGATAAACGAACGCACTTGGACCATTCTATAAGCAGAGCTAAAAATGCAGTTTCGGAGAATAAAAAACAATGTATCAAGAATATTGTGCCCTTCTCTCAAGCGTCCACCGAATTACATTATGTATCTACACGTGGCTTGACATTGTTTTAGAAAGAAATAACGCAAACTGGCAATAGTCAGCATTTTAGTTTCGGCCAGGTACATCTGGACCCCTCAATCTACACGTGCCAAATTTTCCTGAGGTCAGCCTCGGTTCAGATCTGTGACTGTCGTTTTCTTTACAGGTTTAACCGGTTCAACCGTTTCAACCAGATACGCGAATGTACCCATGATCACAGCTGACTTACAAAATATCTTACCAGAATTTGGAATAGTTTGTTAATAATGATAATAAGCATACAACTTGACTGATGAAGATCATTTAAAATCCAGACTGTTCCTTTGTTGTTTTTTGGTTAAATTTTTGTTAGTTTCTTTTTGAAAGAAAAATTATCTTGCATAAAATATAAACCAGGTTGGCAAACCCATGTCAGATGTCGTGGAAAAAACTAGATGGCAGAGGTGACAACTGCAGTGCTAGAAATTAATTAAAATTACCACTTGTGAATCGAGCTAGTAGTTTCCAGTTTTAGTAGTCCATGTGCTAATGTCACCATTTTAAACCCAATATTATTCAACATTATGAGTAATGTCAATCTTCGACTAGTCAGTTGGGCAATTTTTTAGAATGCTAGACAATTGCTAGTCCAGCTAAACTCAGATTAGCAGGCTACCCTGCCCTGCATCTGTGGATACACGAGATTGTTATCGTTATATAGAGCTCCATAAGATGAGGTGAGCTAAAATAGTGTGTGTGTGTGTGTGTGTGTGTGAGTGTGTGAGTGTGTGTGTGTGTGGGGGGGGGNCTACAGGAAGAATGTGGATGTTGACATAGTTCAGAAATCTAAGATTGTCTACAGCCAATTGTGTATGTGATATGATGTAATAAGGTAGTCATTATTTCACAGTTGAAAACATTTTGTAGTGTTTTATTTCTTGGGTAATCCTTGGCTTTATCAGGGTTATATTTTATATTTTAGAAGTGTAGTTTGAACAAGTCTTTGGAAAACACCTATTTTCTGCTGGTGAATTGAAACTGTTTGATATGATATGTAATTGGAACAGTTCGGCAATGTGCACACCATCAATCCTGTTTTCTTGGCTGAACCTTAGTATCAGAGGCAGTCTTTATCATGAAATATGTCAAGAAATGAAATATAAACAATTTTCTTAATACAAAAAACTATGGTCAAGTCAATACAACCATCTAATAAACTACCTTGTGATATTTTTCATGTCATCAGACTTAAAGCTGGAGCATGTATTAATGTTAAGAATGTTCAGCAGTACATCAGACTGTTGATTCATGGCTACAACACTGTATGAATCGTATTCCAAACAATGAGTAATGACTGTGATAACTATGCTCTCTCTATTTTTTTCATAAATGTGCAACTGCCTTTGAGCACCAGATCTCCACTAGTAAATTCATAAAAAGGAAAAACACGTAACATTTTAAGTGAATACAATAAGAATACTTGATGAAAATAAATTTTATACAATATGTTGATACATGTTACTGATATAACACAATAGCTCAAAGTACTGATCATAATTTTTAAGATCACGAAAAAATGTATCAAAACTTTTACATTTGTATTTACAATTATGATGGTGCCATTGGGATAGTTCCTCAACTGTCACAATAAAAAAAAAAAGTTGTCTCTCTGATAATCTTGAGTAAGAGATAGGGATTCTAGGCCGTTTTTGTTTAAACGGTTAAACCGGTGGACCACAGTTGTTCGTTAATTAAATAAGGTCGGACCTAGTAATCTGATGCTGCTTTCAGACGGGCCTAGACAAAGCCTTGCAAGGCTTGCATAAACATTTGCCGGTCCGCCAGATTTTGTACCCGAAATTGTTACATTTAAAAACAGACAAACTGATTATTACGCATAAACGAACAGGCCTCTAGTGCCTGAAAAATCCTCCGAGAACCATTCCAAGGATTGCCTCCCCTGTTCGAAAAACTTTCATGGCGACAAGAAATAAATTGGGCGGTCTCTCGAGACAGGTTCTCTACTGTATAAGTCATAAATGTTTGTATGTGATTGTAACCACCTTTATTTATATGTAATTGTTACTTTGCTGGGGTGATCCAATATTTATGGTACAGCATGAAATAATTGTATAAAAGTTTTTCTCAGATGTGTGTTGTTTTAAGATTAATTTATATTTGTTGATTAATATGTGTATGTCGATACATAAAGTTTTTGTGCCATTTGTTTTGTAGTATATATATACTTGGGGAGACTACAAATTATATTAAGGATTTTGTTTATTAGGAATTCATTATTAAGAGCTTTTGATTGCTTTCAAAAGTATTGCATTAAAAACAAAATTGGTTGTCAGTGACTTCCAATACTGCAACACTAAAGAGTGTATCTTTTAGAATCTAACTGCTGAAGAATTTATGTTGATTTATCAGGTACATGCTCAGTAGACAATCATACCCATAATGATAAATTGATGTAATGATGATAGGTTTTCATATTTTATGACGGACTCAATTTCAATTTTGACATTACTTATGATAGAGATGACAGCTATTTTTCCTAATATTTTATTAGATATTACTACTATATCCTTTCAAAAAACATATTTTATTTGATACTAGTGATAGATTTTTTTTTAAATTTAAAGATGATAAATTTTGTTTTCTTATTTATATGGATACCAGTTATTTACCATTATGTTTCACTCATACTTGATGCATTATTTTTTTATTGTTTTTCTCCCCTTTATATTTAAATGTCAAATTACGCGTCATCATAATTATATTAATATGACAGAATCTGTATTGTCACAATGAATCTCGCTTGCTATCAAACTCACCAAACTTGTCCATTTTCAAATATTGCAACTTGAGCAATTACACTTATGATTTTCCATGTTAGGAAGTTCACAGATAATGAGTATTACATATGTACACACATACTTAACATATGAGGATATGAGGAAGATTTTGTTTGTGTTTTCCAGGGAACACTGGCAAATAATAAACATTAAAATTAATTTATTGTTTTTGTTGATCACTGAAAGGTATCACAGATGTTTGCATTCATGAAAAAAAATGTATGAAATTGATCATAAAATTATTTAATATTTCTTATTTGCCTTACAGTTCTGGTATACAATGGAAATATAAACTAAAATGCAGCTACAAAATAAAAGGTGTCTTTTCCACAAGTAGCGGTCACATTTGTTTTGTGCCATTTTATTTTATTCTAAAAAATACATCAAAGATGACTTGCATGTATGTCATCTTTAATTATTGTACAACTGTGTTACCTGTAACATCCATGTAAATAATAATTATGGATTTCGGAGATTCTTAACGAGTCATTTTGTGTCAAAATGTTGTACCTGTAGTTACTATGAAATTCTAAGTATATTCACTTTTCAGTAAATAATAAGCAAACCATGTGATATGTCATGTGCAATAGTGGGATAGTAAAATATTCTTAATGATTAAGCTCAAAGTGAGATTTGCCAACCCGATCATTACTTCAAATATGATTGAATGTTGATAACTGTGAATGTTCTTTAACATGATCAAGTGTTGAGGAATAAATGCATGCTGTTTGAATCTAAGAGTTCATCTAATTTTACCCCAGGTGAAAAATGTGCTGAATATTATTGTATAAACGATTTTAAGTTATCTTGTGTTTCCTTAACATCATATTAAATAAAAACGAGTTTGGGATCTGTTTATCGTTCATCTTGAACATGCGAGAAAAACGTAACTCACTATAGCGTCTCATTATCATGACATCATGACATCATAATCTAAAGCAATCTAGTCATTCAGAATGTTGGCCACTCGCCTGTCATTCTTAGTGTTGAAATCCGAACATAATTCATCAATCCTTCAACTTTGTCCAAGCAGGTCCTTATATTTTCATTCAGCAGAAAGGTACTTTTCATAAAGTATGAAATTAATACTTTAAAGTACTAAAGCCATTTGATATTTGATAATTTGAGTACAAATTAGCAGTTATAACATCATGAGTAATAATTTCATTGTTTTTATAACCTCTTTCCCATAAATGTCCATCGTCCAGAAGAGTGTATGACAACTGAGGTTTTCGTCATTATCATACCACATTACAGTGTAACATTTTCTTTTAAACATGTGTATTTATGATCAAGAAATTTCACCCTTGAAATGGGCGTGACACCCTCGGCAAAGCCATGGGGATGCGACCAATTTACAATTCCTCATGTGTGAATTTCCCAATATTAAATACCTATTTGTATTAAAAGATTTTTTTCTCTCAAACATTTACAAAAAAACGAATAAAATTAGTCTACATGTTGTATGTCAATACTGATTCTCAAGGCATCAGCCACACTAACATGTAAATCTCATCGTGTGGCTTGATATTGTCTTGTCATATCACAATTACCACATAGTAATAAAATAATGATATACAACATTTGTTATAGCGTTCTATCTAGCTAGAATAATCCACTCTAAAGCGCTTTAAAGTACTTTGATATACAATTTACAAATCAATACAATAAGCATATACATTAATCGATACAATTTTTGAGGAATTCGTAGGAGCTTTTTTTATCAGGCGCTTACTACTAGTCCTATGCCAACTGGCTAATATCTCCCTATGTGTGTATGCCTGTGTGTGTACTGGAGGTGTATTGTTTTCTTTATAGTGGGAACGTTCTTCCAAAGGTATCATTTATAGTGCCACCTCACTTGAATGCTACAGCACAGATACCACAACATCCACCCAAGGCCATTTTATACTCCACCTGGGTTGTTGGAGTTGTGTTGGAAGGAGAAAAACACTTTCTCTGAATATTCCATGCGTACAACGACTTCGGGGATCAAACCCCGGCCACCTGTACGGAAGGCCAGAGTGTTAACTACTCGACCAATCTGCTTATGACTCCTCAGTGAAATGCCATGCATGGTTATAAGATTCTTTCATGGCACTGAGTTTAGTACAGAGAAAATCCACCCAGGAGTTTTCAGATTAATTCGACACTTGTCTGATTCCATTTGCCAGAATTAGCCCCGAAACTATGAAATTGCATTTTGAAACTGTCACCTTCTTACTAGAG